TGTTGTCTGCTCAGTGGATGCTCCTGAACTAATAAATATTTGCAGCTAACCTCCTTTCTCTGCTCTCCCAGATCATTTTTGGGGTTGCCCCTGAGCTCCCATGTGCTGGGCACAGCTGGGAGAGGAGCTGGGGAGGGCAGGGTGGGAATTTGGGGAGGGATTGGCCTGGTTGGTGCTGCAGAGCTCAACCCAACTCCATGGGAACATCTCCAGGATGTGCTGGATGTACCCAGGGAAGGGCAGAGGGACACCCACTGCCAAAGGAGGTGCATCCTTGAGATGGGAGGACTTTTCTCTGCTGAGAGCATCCTCCTTCCTTCTGGGTTATAGCATAGGTGGCCCCAGGGGTGAAGCTCCCAGCACTCCAAAGCAAACACAGAGCCCAGGGAAGGCACCAGCACAAGCCCAAACTGGGGAATTTTGCTCACAACTCCAGCATGACCCGATCTTCACACCATCCTGTCATCCCCAGGTGAGATCCACACCAAGCAGCACCAGAACACTCCTTCACTCACTGCAGAGTGGGAAAAACAGCAGCCCAGACACAGTTTCCAAGTGTTAACCATTTATAAATAAGTACATTTTTTTTTCATACATACAGTTTTCATTGTACAGATTACAATCTGTATACATTGGGGGGAGGGAAATGCATTCTTTTGAACTTTTCACATCTATCTCACAGCTCACATGTACAGACAAGAAAACTCTGCTCAAGCAAATACAGCAAAGGAAAAAATATGTTTTCTTCTTTCCTTAGAGATGAGAGGCTCAGGCCTCTGCTGTCGGCAGGGGCTGCTCTTCCCACTGCACAATATCACAAACTGTGTGGTGTTCCATATATCAGTAGAGAGAACAGAACATGCATTGGATAATATACTGTACAGAGAGAAAGTCCTTTACATCGGAATTATAGAAAAGCTAAAGGAAAATTTCAGTGTCTTAAAGATCTTCCCAGCAAGTGTCTCGGAGGGGTGGCAATCAGGGAACTGTACAAAGCACAAGGTGGGAGTACTCGGACGTGTTTGTACCCAACTCAGATCCTCTGGGGTGTGAAGACAGGAGGGAGACAGAACGCCGGACGCGACACGACGGCAAAGAAAAGCTGGACAGGGATGAGCCTGGCAGAGTCCACAGGAGTCTCTGGAGTGGTGACAGCACACAGTGCTGCTCTGGGCCTGGCTGAGCAGTGCACACGAGGCAGACCCACCCATCCCACCCAAAAAAGGGAACAAAGTCTTTTGGCAGAGCAGCTCTGTTTTCAGGGCCTGGCTGAGCCCAGGACTGACAGCTGGACCATGAGCAGGAGGAAGGGTTGGGTGTCTCGTTGGCATTCCCAGGGACTAGCTGTGCTCCTCTCGGGTCGCTGTGTACCAGGTGTGGTGAGATCCAGCTGTCTAGTCAGGAGTTGGACACGAACGCATCTCGCGAAAGATTTGAGCCCTTAGTGGTTTATATTAGAAAAAAGAGTTTCGGTTGAATGAAAAAATCCAGCAATTATTCACACAAAGCTGAAAAAAAAAAAAAAAAGAAAAAAAAAAACCCAACCCAAAATGCAGATTCACTTTCAACCCTTGTGCTTTGTGTCCAACACACACCCCTGGTGGGGCGAAGGCATCGATGCGCAGAGGTCCCAGTGGGTACAGCAGCTCTTCCCCTAAGCCCTTGGTTAAACACTGATATCCTGGTAGAAAAGTCATCTTGAATTCCCAAGACTAAAGCAAAGTACAACCACCAAGGAGCTCCTGACAGCTCAGCACGGACCCCCCGGCCAGGAAGGTGGAGGAGGAGCAGGCACAGTCTAGATAAGGTTCTTGGCACTTGGGTTTTAGCTAGACTTCTCCTGGGTAACCCTGAATATAGATCAGCCTTTGTACCAGGGGACTGAATCTCTCCCAGTTTAGTACCCACCCTGGTTCCAGACCTGATCCCAGTATGACTCCGGTGTTTGGCAGACGTGTTCACACCAGCCAAGAGGTTTTTTTTTTTCCTTTCCAGCCAAGTGAAAGAAAAATGACCAGAAATCTCAGTGCTTGGATGGAGCAGGCACTGGTGCCACAGCACAGGGACAGACAGATGGACAGACAATGCCTTGGGTTGTCATCAGAGCTGGCACAGCAACACAGAGAAGGCAGCTCAGGCTGTGCCTTCTGAAGAGATGGATCCCAAAGGATCTGTCCTTGTAAACCCCTCCCTGCCCAAGCACCTTGATGCCCATCAAGACTGTGTTTCAAGGCCTCCAGTGCCACCCCCAGCCTGGCAGGAGGGACCCCACAGATCCTGCACCAGGTGGGAGTTCCCTTCCTTGGGAGACAAAGCAAGAAGGGATGAATCCCCACAGAGGGACAGGCCACACACCCTCACCTGATGGAGGGAGAGAAATTGCAGCTCTGTGGTGGCACACGTGGCTCTCGGAGCGGCTGCAGGTGAGTGTGACAAACACCCAGTGGGAAGGTTGGCTGAAGAGAGGGGTTGGCTCCAGCATCACTTTTGGCATTGCCTTCCCAAAGCACCCCAAGAACTGAACATGGAGTTTCAGTGTCATCAAGGACCTGCTCTGCTTGGTGCACCCAAGAATCCTACACACTCAGAGCCCAGGACCTGCCACTACAGCCAGGAGGGGATGGAGGTGCCAACTGGCAGCACTGTCCTGCAGCTTAATTACTCAGAGAGTAACGAAGTATGTAGCATGGACACACAGGACAGAACCAGGTCTGAAACTCTCAGTGTGATCCCACAACACAGCCCAGACCAAGATGTAAGAGGACAAGATGAAGGGCCCTTGGGTGAGATCCAACCTCATGCTCCACACGCTCTGCTACAGGACCATGGCAGCACCACATGGAATCACCTCTGCTGCTCATCATGCCAAGCCCAAACCAGCACTCTGAAGACACAGGGCACTGTGCAAGAACAGCTTTTCCAGGGAGAGATGTGCTCCTTCCCCACCCAGTGACCACTGCAGCCCTCCTGCCTCGACTGCTCCTCAGAGAATTGCTGGGCAAGTGCTTTAAAACCACTGCAAATAAATCTGTATTCAAAAATTACTCAATCTGTTGATGCTTATATACAGGAGTCAGTTCTTGTGCTATAAATGTTATGAGTCATTGCTTTGTTTCTCTTCTGTTTTCTTCTCCTTTTTCTTGTTTTTTTTTTGAAAAATACACTAAGAGACAAGAGCTGTTCTGCTATTTTTTTTCCTAGTGAAGACACTACTCACGCTTAAATATCCAGTATTTATCATAGTAACAAATTCAAACAGTAAAGTGCACCCATTTACAGAGAGAACAGATGGAAAACCATTAGTGCAAGAATCCTGTGAAAAATGTGACATGTGGAACTGTGGAAAAAAACCAAAACCCTACCCTGCAGGCCTCAGTGTTTCAGCCTCCTTCGGCTTGGTGTGAGGTGTGTGAAGTGTGAGCTGTTTTCTCCTTCCAACATCTTCATCAATCCAAAAGGTGTACACACAAGTGCTGCCAGGGGATGTTCTGAAGGACAGGACTGGGAGAACAAGGCAGTGAGTAGAGAAAGAGAAGCATGGGCAGTTCACCCACCACTGCTCCTGTTGGCATCACAGCAGGGAGAACCTGCTCATGGCCAGAGCTCATCTTGCTGGGCTGGAGAAAACAGGGACAGGGCTCAGTTTGGTGACATTTTTCCTCTCCAAGAAGCAACTCAAGGCAGTAGGAAGCCACTGGGGCAGGAAGCTGGAGGATGGAAATGCTGAGCAAAGCCACTGGTGCTGCTCCAGAGCCAGGGCAGGTGTCCCAGTGATGAGTAGGAGAAACTGGTTATTCCCTATGAAGCAGAACATGCTGCTTCCAAAAAAAAAAAGAGAGGAAGGATGAAAAGCATCACAGCCCCTTGGCAAGGAAACAGCACAAGGAGCTGCATGTCCCCACGGCCGTGGGGAGCTCACCACACCCAGGTGGGCCCAGTCTGCCCCAACTTCACAGAGCCCCACGAGAAGGCAAAGAGTCAGCACTGGGTTGCACCTCAAGGAAGAAAACACCAACCTCAATCCCAATACTGGCTTGGATAGAGACTAAATAACCCAAAAAAAAGCCCCAAAATTCACGAAGGAAACCTCGCCCCGAACGCTCTCCATGTGTCTATGAGACACAAGACTCCGTGGCCCCAAGGTGCGCACGGCCCAGCTCGCTCTGAGCAAATCAGGCAACAAAATGCCAACAAGATGTGCTGAGCCACACACAGGGTAAAGAGGGGAAAAAAAAAAAAAAAAGAAGCCCCATCAAAGCCAGGGTTTGCTTCAAGAGTTTCAGCCCCGGTCCCAAGCTGGTGCGAATGGACGCAGCTGCAGAGATGTGGGATATGCTCACTGACACCAGCACAGGTTGGAGCCCATGGTTTGGCTCAAGAAGTCTGGCCAACAATTCACATAGCCCTTTGGAAAGGTGTCACTCCCCTGCTCAGCACTGAGATCACTCCCAAGAGTTGATATGAGTGAGGTTCGGCATCGGGCAACAGGCACTAGTTTGCTTTAAAACAAGCTACAGGATGATCACTCTCCC